GGGGGGTGGGGAAGAGCAGAGGGGAGGAGGTCCGTGGTCCAAAGGAGCGGCTGATGCAAAAAAAAAAAAAGGGGGATGTAATCTAAGCAGCTGGAGAGAAGAGACACAAAACACTAAATACAGAATCAAAAGAACGACAGGGAACAAACGGGTCTGAGAAAAGCCAGAAAGAACTGGCAAGGGAGTGAACGAAGAGCAGGGACTAAATAGGGAGAAACTAATCAGGTGCAGCTGGTGACAAGCAGGTGTAAAGGATAGCATAATCAGGGTAAGGGAGAGAAAACAGAGTGAGGGGAGTGAGAAAGGAGGTGCAACCGGGCAAACCTGACACCATTGGTCTCTATGAAGAGAAAGAGTCAGGGGCTGTAGTGGAGATATCACACCTAGAGTGGTGAGGCTGATGAATTTGTCTAAGAAATTCTCTAACTCGTCCTCACGACCACAGTTTTCGTTCCTTTTACATAAGTTTCTCACTGAATTGTAGACACATCTGTGCTCTTCTTGACAGTAGAACTGTGGAAGCAAATGGATTCACAGAAGATGCTCAGTGAGCTGCAGAGTGACACGAGTGCCAAACAACTGCCACAATGACTCCTATGTAAACAATATTAGGCAGGTGGTCATAATCAAGATCAAGAATCTTTATTGTCATTATCCATAGCACAATGAAATTTTTTCCGGCAGCTCTCGGCTTAAAAGACAGACATATTATTTACATAACATACAATTGTGTTGTGGGTGATCAGTGTACGTATATCAGAAGTCTGTGCAGATTCTCAGTCATCCAGGTCATAGTAAACATTGTAAAAACAAAATATCTCCGGCTCAACACCAGTCAGTCAGAACTGATGAAGCCTCTTGGATGAGAGGTGAAATGTTTTCGATCTAGAAATCCAAGTCCAGTTGATTTTTTCTAGTTTTTTTCAGTGTATATCAGAAGGCACTTTTGGTCCATGGTGTCCACAAAATGTATGTTTTTATGTAACTATCTTCATTTTATCACTGACAACACTATTTTCTAGAATAAATCTTCCCAAAAAAATTGGGGGTATGAAAAAAAAATTCAACCCTTTCCTGCTTTCTCCCAAAAAAATCACTCTTTTCAGTAAAAATACAAATACATAACCACTTCCCTTTTTTCTGACTTTACCTTTCCAATAATAAGTTTCATGCAGTCCCTAACCTAATGAGAGTCAAACATGCTGTTTAACTGTCACACCAAGGAAAGCAAAAACATTGGCCTTCTTGTGAGAAGATGGAGTGGTTGATGCCGGGGGATTTGCTAAAGGTTTAGTTGCAAGAGTCAACAAGTAAGACAAAAAAAATGTAACCTTGGACACCAACAAGACCAAAACCAAATTCATCACCACAAGTGTGTCATATGTTCTTGTTCAAATAGAAACTGGTTTTTCTGTCATGTAGGAGGAGAACTCAGAACTGTTCCACGCTGTCCCGTGGTCCTGTGGTACTCTGGGGTTCCTGGTTGCAGCTGAGATTAAAATAGTACCCGCTAAGACGTGGGTGAAACTGCACTATGAGCCGGTCAGAGGGCTGGAGAACATCTGTAAACGCTTCACTGAAGTATCAGAGAACAAGAGGAACACGTTTGTTGAGGGCATCCAGTATAGTCTGGACTCTGCTGTTATCATGACAGGAACCATGACTGACCATGCAGAGCCTGATAAGGTAAGGTGTATGTGTGTATCTGGGTTTTTCACATCACATTTTATCACATTCAGTCTCTCTCTCTCTCTCGCTCTCTCTTTTTATTTTTTTCTCCCCTCTTTGACCTCAGATTAATAGAATCGGGCTGCACTTCAAACCCTGGTTCTTTAAACATGTAGAGGGCTACCTGAAAGGTGACTGCTCTGGGGTGGAGTACATCCCTCTGAGACAGTACTACCACAGACACACACGGAGCATCTTCTGGGAGCTCCAGGTACTAATAAAACACACACTTACTTGCACATACAGTGCGTTTCCATGAGTGTTAGAATTAAAGGACTGCATACACCTGCTAGACTTCAGCTTGCCATCACTTTTCTTTATTACACTCTAATGCTCTCTCACTCACATATATACACACACCATTAGCCATTAAAGAGAAGGGCTTGGCATCCTTTGTTTTCAGGAACAGTAAATGGTGTGATAAATTATGCATGGTACTGCTCTGCCAGACCTAAAAGGAGCTACCTCTGGACTTTTGGGTAGTCCGTCTTTTTCAAAGGATTTTGCTTTTGTAGATAGTGCAGATCAGTGCTGTGATTAAATCATTATTTGGCAATTTGTGGTAAAGGTAGTGGTGGGAGACCTGCGATGGATTGGCGACCTGTCCAGGGTGTACCCCGCCTTCGCCCGATTGCCGGCCGGGATTGGCTCCCAATGAATAGTGGTGGGAGAAACTACTGTAGCACTGGTTGGAAGATTGTTGCTGCCCTCTACTGGAACATAAGAGTGGACTGTGTCAATAACTCTAAAGGCAGAGACACACCAAGCAGATGTTCAGTCATTGGTCTGTCTATGTATCCTGCATTATTGGCGTTAGTTATAGACTACTCTGATTGGCTGTTTGGCTTAGCAAATCGGTGCACGAGAAGAGAATGGTTTGAGAAAGCCCCTTCAGCCTGTAGCTGTAGTATCCATGATTTAACATATTTAGTGCAGTTTCTCCTTTGTTTATAGCTCATACTTCCACATTCTATCCATTCTTCTTTCCCTTTTTGAATGGTGAATACAGATACTGCCAACTGCTAGTTTTCATTTATCCATCCATTCAATATCTATACCATTTATCCTGAAGAGGGTCACAGGGGGCTGGAGCCAATCCCAGCTGTCATTGGGCGAGAGGCGGGGTACACCTTGAACAGATCAAATTTTTCCTTTTTTTTTTTGATTATTTTTACAGTTATTGAAAAAGGGTACCGCTTTTCGAGAATTTGCCTGGAGTTGGTTTAAATTCATAGGGATGGTCAAAAGGGGTATTGGCTTAGGGAGTTAATAGGGGAGTGAACTTACCCACACCAAGGGAGGAAAAGTAAGAAGTAAATGGACCCCAGACAGAACAGAACCTTTCCACCTTGCCATGTCGAGTGTATCTGATAATTTCAAGATGTAGGGAGCTCAAATGCTAGGAGATCTTTCTGGGAGTGGGTGGGGGTGCAGGGGACTTGGAGAGCAATGCATGGTGAGGGATCAATAGTTATTTCCAGGACTTTAGAAATGGTCAAAAATGTACTTCCAGAAAATAATATAAATGGGAAATAACTTGTTATTTTGGTGGCTGGTGTTGTCTTTTAATCTCTTTGCATAACTGAGTGTGTTTGTGTGGCTTTTCTCCAGAATATCATCCCATTCGGAAACAATGTGGTGTTTCGCTGGCTTTTTGGATGGATGGTTCCTCCTAAGATTTCTCTGTTGAAGCTCACACAGGGCGAAACCATCAGACGCCTTTACGATCAGCACCACGTGGTCCAGGACATGCTGGTACCCATGAAGCATCTGCAGGCTGCTATCTCATGCTTCCACCAAGAAATTGCTGTAAGACTCGGATATGGGCAAACTGACTAAATACTCACTGGTTATATTACAAAATGATTGCGCTCTTTAAATGCTGTGTATTATTTCAGGTTTATCCTCTGTGGCTGTGCCCATTCCTCTTGCCTCCAGGCAGAGGGCTGGTTCATCCCAAAGGTCAAGAGGTGGAGCTATATGTGGATATTGGGGCTTATGGAGAGCCCAAAGTCAAACACTTTGAAGCTAAAGCATCAGTTCGCCAGCTGGAAAAGTTTGTCAGAGATTTGCATGGGTGAGTCTCAAATGATACACGGAATGTAGCCTCTGTAACTAAAGTGTTTCACCCTTCATCTAATACTATCAAAATTGCAGTGACACATTTATGTTTCCCTCCCGCAGGTTCCAGATGCTCTATGCAGATGTGTACATGGAGCGAGAGGAGTTTTGGGAGATGTTTGATGGCCAGCTGTATCACAGACTGAGAGAAGAACTAGGCTGTAAGGAGGCCTTCCCAGAGGTTTACTACAAGATCTGTAGATCTGCCTGACACTGATCTGCCCCATCTCCTCCTGACCAGTACCTGGACTGAACCAACGTGTCACAAAAACACAGAGGCACTGTTCCCAACTCACACTTGGTGACAGCTTTACTTTGTTTTACACAAAGATGCAACTCATCTTTTTTTTTTAAAGTGGACTTAAGCTAAGGCACACAAATATATTATTTTTGGTAACCAGAGTCTGTCTTCAGGGGCCCTTATATCACTGAAGTAGGAGCACAAGTATTGCAGTGTTTTAGGTCTTGAATATATTCCTTTTTTTTTCTCTTTTAGCTTATTTCATGTGCTGCTTGACTTAAAATCTTGTTTACATGTAGACTGTTTACTTTAATAAATGCCACTTCTTAATTAACGTCAGTGCCGGGCAACCTTATCATCCACCCCACCCCACGCCCCAGTGTTGGAGAGCGATATGTTTCCCTAGTGCCATACACTGTCAAAACTATGACCTTTTAACATCATGTAGATATTTTAAAATACATACTTATGTGATCAGTGAAATAAACTATGCAATTTTATAAGGTATTATTTTGATATGGTGTGAATGAATTAAATAAAAACATTGCAATAAATATATTTCTCACTTTCTTTTAAAACATAGATTATAAAGTTTGTTGCTCAAAATACCATGTCAGACTATAGAAGAGGGTCCAGAGCCATCCCACACAATTGGTATTCATACTTAAGTACACGCCGACCTCTCAGCCTTATTAGCACTACCCGACCACCACTCCGTGAGAGTTTTAAGTGTCCTCGTTCACATATAACGTTACGTAATGTATACAGTAAACTCAAGGAAAGAACTTTCCACCAAATCACTGCTTTACTACACACTGGTTTTACCTGAAAGGGTTGGGGGCCAGTGATAAAAGCACATCCTGACAGTAGCGGTTCCGCCTTCCTCCCCATTTGACTTGCTAAGTGAGCTAGCAGCAGGTTGGGTGAGTTTACTGTCAGAGCAGGACTGATCTACCACAAGTGGCCCGGATTTACTGGCTACACAGGTAGGCTGTTCTCAGAGTTTCTACGATTAAAGTTATTGTATTCGCTTTGTGATATCTTGAGCTTATGAACAATGCGGCTGCTTCCTTGAACAGTCAGCTGTAACTACATAAATAGTTTTACAAGGGAAGCTAACATTAGCTAGCTACTAGTCAGTGCGTCTCGTCTTAGTACCTTCTGTTACACGTTGGTAGTACAACTAGTCAGCTAACAGCTGACGTTAGTTTATAGAACATATGTCTTACAAAATATACTTTTTAAAATAAAGGTGACTGAAATGTTGCTGCCGCTGTTCCGCCCCGTCAGTTGTTAGCTTGTGGTTTTTATTTTTAGCTGCTCTCCGGGTACTCCGGCTTCCTCCCACAGTCCAAAGACATGCAGCTTGGGTTGATTGGTGTCTCTAA